CGCTGGCCGCCGTGTCGTCGCTCTTCCTGCTGTCGCTGCTGCTCTTCGTGGCGCTCAGGCTGTGCAGGAGGAGCGGGCCGGCCGCGCTGGGGGTGTGCTCGGCGGCGCCCGAGGGCCCCTTCCCTGCCCACCTGGTGGACGTCAGCGGCACGGGGACGCTGTCGCACTCCTACCAGTATGAGGTGTGTCTCTCTGGAGACTCTCAGAATGAGTTCCAATTCTTGAAGCCTGTGTTCCCCAATATTTTGGGCCAGGATTCTGCGAAATAATCAGATGGGAGCTCAATTTTTCATAATAATTTAAGTATCTGAATCTTGTTCTCTATGTTGGTTTGTCTGCTTTTCTTTTGACTTTTGTTTTTATCTGTAGTCTCTCATTTTGCTTTTTACTTTATTCTTTCATTAATGTTTTATTGGCCTCCTGTGTATTACTTCTATTAATAAATGTTTTCTTACAGGAAATTTTAATGTTCTGATTAAAGTTTTAGTATTCCTGGAGAAAGTTAAGCTCCTTTACCAAAATTCTAATTTTGAAATGTATTGCACTATTTGAAACTACATAAAATGTAAGATTGCTTTTCTGTTATACTCTTTTTTTTTTTTTCAGGGGGAACCGGGGGATTGAAATCAGGCCTTTGTGCTTGCCAGGCAAGTGCTTATTTCAGTGAGCCATCTCCCCGGCCCCTTATACTCTATTTTTAAATGTTGGAAGTTTTTATTGTTAAGGCAATTGTGATGTTTCAATATTCATCTTTTTATTTGAATAATCAGTTCATATTCACTAATATCCGATTTCTTTGAAGCTTCTTTGGACTTTGTTTAGATTTTTCAATAACCAGCAACATGAATAATTTCAAACTATTTATTTCAGTATCATATGTGTAAAATTAGGCTTTAATCTAAAATGCATGTTGTCTCATGAAAATATATTTGTATCAACAATTATTTCTTATCTAAGTTAATGTAGTTTAAGATTTCTAGGTTTTTTCTTATCTCTAACTGAAATTGTGATACTGATAAAGTGCTTCACATGTGCTTTAACACATATTGACCATAGTTTAGAAGTTTGTATAAGGCGAATTGATTCTATCAAACCTGTACCATCAAGTGTTGCATTTCTTGCTATTGTCCCTTGCTCTTGAAGAGAAATGCCCAGTGGGTTCAGAATTCTGTAATTACAGCACTTCTGATTTTACAGCATGCTGATATTTACTGACTTTTGAATTCTTACATATTTTGTTCAATAAAGAACCAAAAAATGCATTGTAGAATTAACATACCTGCTGCTCCTGGCAGTTAACCAAATAAAATTTTCTTAAAGGATATGTTGATGAAGCAGTTCAATGATTCGGAGAAATTATTTTCAATAACAAATAACAATGCCTGTACCCAAAGATGTCTGCTTTCTAATTTCTGTAACTTCTTAATATATTATGTTACATTGCAAAGATAAATTAAACTTTAAATAGAGTTCAGGTTGCTAATCAGCTGAATTTCAGATAGGAAGACTATAATAGACAATCTGGGTAGCCTGGTTCAAGAAGTTGAAAGGTTTTAAAGTCACAGTTGAGTCTTCCATAAGATGAAATTCTGCAAAAGGGCAGAATGTTCTGCTTGTGTCTGTGTTCCAACCTACCTTTACTTCCTGTTGGATTTGTCTAGCCAGCTTCCACAGTTGGATAAGTTACATCATTGCAATAAGTATCTTAGTGTATGTCTTCTGCTGGCTCTGTTTCTCTGGTTGACTCCTGGCTGATGCCAGATTTTGATATCTGGGCTGCACTGTAACAAATACATCAAAATATGAATGTAAACTTTGAGGTGTGGGCAAAGGATGGAAGAATTTAGAAAAGTATGATAGAAAGACATAGATTGCTTTGGACAAACTATTACTAGAAATGTGGTGTTCACAACTCTGCTAGTGGAGAGTGAGCAGGAAGTAAGAATCATGGTAAATGAACATAAATCCCTACAGAATACAGCTCAGCAGATTAAAGAGCCTGTTTAGGCAGTCACAAGGACCAGGTTCAATCCCCAGTGTGCTATGCCAGACCCACTCCTGGGGTGCACTGAGAGAGCAATTGGAACTGGGTGTGGTGTTGCATGCCTGTAATCCCAGCACTTGAAAGGCTGAAAACAGGAGAATCACTATGACTCTGGTGTGTATAGTGAGACCCTGTAGACATTGTACTAAATACATTTTTAGAAATCCTTATAGAACAGGTAAATCATTTGAATAAAACTTCATGAAGAAATGTAGAAATGTTAAAGATACTGTTAGTAAGGGCTCAGAAATGAGTAAAATGGTATTGGAAAGCAGAAGAAAAGGAATACTTTTATATAGTACCCCAAAATTTAGACGCAGTTATGTAGAAAGAAGGAATTAGTAGTCCTATTATATTTAAGGAAAAACTTAATTCTTTTATCCCAAACAAACATTCAATGTGAGTTTACATTTCTTGTAGTTAATGTAAATTTTACTGGGATAAACTTCTTACTGGAATACTCCATGTTCACAACCTGAATCTGTTGGAGAATATAACCAAAAACAACCAGAATATTGTCCCAATCACTGGATTGGTGGGCTGAAAATAACTATAGAAGCTCTGCAACAGGCTGTAGGCTTTTTCCGTGTCACATGCTTCAACTGTGAGAAAGCAACTCAAGAACAAGGATGGTTAAAGGATTGGAATCCTGCAGGTTGATAGTTCTAGAAACACCCAACATTGTTTGAACATTAAATTTGACTTGAAATAAAAAGAATGTAAAATTTCTTGATTGAGTTCTGTTTCTTTTGAACTGGAAATTCTTTTTACTCCAGCAATAGTTAAAAAGGTAACATTTTCCAAATTATCATGCACCCCTACTTTTGACAGACCCACAAACTGAAGGTTAGAGATAGACTAGAGTACTATTTTTTGAAGGAAATTTTTCAGTTTAACTAGCTTCTCTCCAAGTATTACTTCTCAAATTGTTACCATTATTTCAACTTTGAGAATCATGTTTAAAAACTGCATGTTCTGCATATCTGATAGTGTGCTAAATGCCTATTAAAAATAAAAATAAATGCTTATTTTGTAAATCTATACTTCATGACAAGAAAATGTAGTTGTCAGAATGATCTGTGTTAGTCTAAATCATCTTAGATGCAATCAACATAAATTCAATTCAAAGTAGACCAAGGAGGAGAAACAATTCATTCAGAAAATGACGGGAATTTAAGATATATTTCCAAATGAAAGCCTTAAAACAATTAGAAATAAGGACTTGAAAAAACATTATTTTGTCCCATATGTTCTTTTTTCTACTTCTTCATGGTGGTTTCATTCTGTTTTACTGAAACCCAGTTTTGCCCACATGGGAAAAATAGGTTCTTATAATCAAAAGCTTTTGAAATTTTTCTTTTCTATACAGGGGGTTGAAATTCACATAAGAGGTTCAATGGAAAAATATGGAGAATGTTCAATATTTTAATTTTTTAGAGTAAAAAATATTGCCATTAATTCTCACCCAAAATCTCTCCTCCCCCTCCCTTCAAAAACACGTGCCTCATTATTCCTGCCACCTTCAAAAGCAGTCCTAGAAGTCCGTTCTTCTGTGAGTCTCTTTAGTTCCACTGTCCAGGATGCTTCAACTCCCTGAACTGTTTGCAAACATTACAGCTCATGGTCATTTGTACTTAACGGAAAGATCAGAAGCTGCACAATGCCAGATTCAGGGAATAACCTGATGAGTACACACCATAATATTTTTGTAAGCCTGCCTTTTCATCGGATAGCCACTCACAAGCACCAGTCACTACATTGTTAATGTTCCTTATAAAGACTCACAAGAGATTTCCAGAACTGCTTGAAAAAGTGACTAGAACAATGGGGTAAGTGTGTTTGAAGCAAGGGGGAGTATTTTGAAGGGGATTCATAGCTGTGTGCATAATAATGTGAAATTAAATGCTGGGTGTGTTGGCTCATATCTGTAATCCCAGCAGTAGGGAAGCTGAGGCAGAAGGATCCCTGAGTTTGAAGTCAGCCTGGGCTGGATATCAAGTTGAAGGCAGCCTGAGCTACATAGTGAAACCCTATCTCAAAAAAACAGTTAAAATGTTCGCTATATATTTTAATCATATGTCATATATTAGGTATGTTTTCTACCATGGAGCTAAATCTCCAACTTTTATTTCATTTCATTTCATTCATTCTGAGGCAGAATCTCACTAAGTTGACAAAGCCAGCCTTGAACATGGCAATCCTCCTACCTTAAGCCCCAAGTAGCTGGGGTAACAAGCATATATCTGCATGCACTGCTTAAAAGTTCTTTTTTATTATTATTGGATTATATTTTGTCTAGCTCAAATTTAGAAATCCTGGTCAGTTTATAGAAAGTTGGATCTGGGAAGCAGATGTGTTTGCATGTGTGTGCATATACATGTATGTTTAATAATATGATGGCACTCATTTTTTCACAAGTACTATGAGTGTAGGAGATATATGACTTTCACCAACAATAGTGATTTGAAAGTAGGGGAATCAATTTTCCTTCATGTTCCTTCTAATTCTCTCTCTCTCTCTCTCTCTCTCTCTCTCTCTCTCTCTCTCTCTCCCCTCCCTCCCTCCTCCTCTCTTTTCCTCTCTCCTCTCCCTCCATCTCCATCTCCATTTCCATCTCCATCTCTATCTCTCTGTATGTATGTAGTCACAAACTTCATAGAACTCTGTTTTATTATCAGGAAAGCCATATTGATTCAATTATTCAAAAAAGCCAGGTATTTGTCTGTGAAATGCTGCTAGGTAACAATGGTGATTCAACATTGATGCTGAATTTTGGAAGACTGAAGCTGACAAAGGGAAGTGATGCATAAGGAAGCCAAAGAAGACTTTCTGGGGTGGCAGTCATTGATGGCATTTCCTCATGCAATAAGAAATAAGAACAATGAGGCCTGTAACATCTATTTCTGCTTCATAATCACCCTTAAATATTCATTTTATCCAACATACTTGCTATTAACAGCATTTTAGTAGATCTTTTCTGCACATAGGTATTCTCTTAATATTTCAAAGGAAGAGAGGTATAGCCAAGTGAACTAAATACAAGGATTAGCTATTTTTATGGAATTTTTAAAGCAGAACTGGGGATAGAACTCAGGCCCTTGTGCTTGCCAGGCAAGGGCTTATTCTACTGAGCCATCTCCCCTACCCTATTTTTATGTTTTTGACAGAAGTTATCATTTTATCATGTACTCTCTGACTCCCTCAGCTGTTAAAAGAAGATAAAGCCTAGAGGATGTTATACATTGGTAGAGCATCTGCATAGCACGC